CGGGGGCCGGCCTGCCGTTGGCCAGGGCCTTCAGCTGGTTCCCCGCCAGGTCCAGCTCTTGCAGTTCCGACAGGAAGGCCAGGCTGCTCCAGTTGAAGAAGGCAAGGTAGTTGTCACGGAGATAGAGCCGCTGCAGCCCCTTGGGGAGTCTGGCCAGGGTGCGGGGCAGGAGGGTGTGCAGGTTATTCTGGGACAGGTCCAGCTGGCACAGATTGGTCAAGTCGTGGAAGAAGTTGAGGTAGAGGTCGCCCTCAGCCCACATGCGGCTCAGGGAATTCCCGCTGAAGTCCAGGTTCTGCAGTGAGGTGCTGCAGAGCCTCGGGGACACGCGGCTGTGGATATTGTTGTGCGCCAGGCTGAGGTTGCTCAGGTTGCGTAGCCGGGCCACAAAGCTGAAGTTGTGGCCTACGCCCTGCATGCCGAAGGGCTGGCTGTTGTAGCTGAGGTCCAGGGCCTCCAGGCAAGGCAGCTCCGTGAATGAGTGTTCGTTGTACAGGTCCAGCTTGTTATGGGACAGGTCCAGCACCCGTAGGCTTTGCAGTGGCCTGAACTCCTTGCCGCTGGGTGTCTGCGCGATGCAGTTATAGCTCAGGCGTAGGCACTGCAGGTGTGCGAGCCCCTCAAACATCTCTGGCCGGACTGTCACCAGCGTGTTCCGCGAGAGGTCCAAGGTGAAGCTGGATTTACTGCAGTTTTGCATAAAGTCCTTAGATCGAGGGGCCTCTAGTGGAGCTGGGGCGAAGTCCTGAGACTGCACCCAGACCTCCTTACTGTCTGCCTCCCCAGTGGCGGCTGCCGGCTTCCTCTTTGAGACCCCACTGATGCGGTTGTTTGACAGGTCCACAAAGCGCAGGCTAGAGAAGTTCCCGAAGACGCTGAGTGGGGCCTGGGTGATGAAGTTCATCTCCAGGTGCAGCGTCTGGAGGCTGGGCAGGCGGGCCAGCAGCTGGAGCGTGGTCTTGCTGAGCGAGTGGAAGAAGATGCCGTGCATGTCCAGCTCCTGCAGCGAGGTCAGGTTCCCGAAGGAGGGGGCCAGATGCAGATGGGAAATGGACATCCCCTTCTGGTAATTGAAGGCCAGGTTGAGCTTGCGCAGCCGTGCCAGGCTTCGGAAGGCTGTGGTTTTGTTGATACAGTCATAGAGGAAGTTCTCGCTCAGGTCCAGCGTGGTGAGGTTGTCCAGGCCATGGAACCACGTGGCGTTCAGGCTGTAGAGGGAATTGTCCTTCAGCACCAGGCCTTCGAGGTGGCTCAGGTGGCTGAAGGTGTAGGGGTGCAGCTGGGGGAAGCCAAGAGGGCATTCCACGCAGGGGTTGCGGGCGTGGTCACAGCGGCGGCAGTTCCCGCCCACATCCAGCACACGCAAGGCCGTCAGGTTGGCCAGGTCCTGAGGCGCTAGCTTGACAATGTGGTTGTAGGACAACAGCAGATACTCCAGGCTGGGGGGCAGGTTTTGGGGCACCGCCGTGAGGTTGTTGTACTTGAGCGACAGGCAGGTGAGGTTGCTCAGGTTGGCGAGGGCACCTGGGGCCACCTCCAGCGCCCGTCCGCAGGGATTCTTGTAGTAGCAGTTGCCGTCTATGAATAAGAAGCGCAGGGAGTGCAGGCCAGCGAGGCTGGCAGGGCCCAGCGTCAGGATGTTGGTGCGGCTTAAGGACAGGAACACCAGGGAGCTGGGCAGGGCGGGCACGGTGCTGATGCCGTTGTAGCTCAGGTTCAGCTCCTCCAGGGTGGGCACGGCCAGGAAGGTGTTGCGCTCGATGGTCATGTGGCAGGGGAAGTGCATGGGGCTGAGGCCGGCTGGCGGACAGTTCCACTTGAGGTTGAGTCTCCGCAGGTTGGGCAGGTGGGCGAAGTCAGAGTCGTGCAGGTGGTGGATACGGTTGGAGAGCAAGGACAGGCTGGTGATGTTGTTTCGGGATGCTGCCTTGAAGCGGGGCACGGACTTCAGAAACAGCCAGTTGCAGTTCACCAGGCCTGGGTCCCGGAACTCACAGGGTAGGAAGGCGGGCAGGGTGCCCAGGCCCAGGCCCACAGCCAGCACTGCAGCCCACACCAGGAGAGACAGGGGCTGCAGGGCACTGCTGCAGGGGCCCTGTAGGAGAGTAGGAGTGTGTGAGAGTCCAGCTCCCAGATCCACGCCTCCTCCTGCCCACTGCTCCTCTCACAGGGCCTTCCAGCCGGGCTTCCAACCTCCCTCTCTTAGCCTTCCCCACAGAGGTTCCTGCCTGACTGCCGAGCCCCTTTCCCATCCTTCATGCCTTGTGGGAATCTGAACTGGGTCTTAGACACTGTCTTAAATTCAGAATTTAGACTCAGTGTCTAGATCGAGACCCAGAATCCATACCTGAGATTTGGAACTTCTACCGGTAACCAAACCCCAGACAGACAGAGCACCGGGTGAGGCAGCCACCGACATCCCTCTCTCACTGTCCCGCCTCTCCTCGCAGCAAGGTGGCAGCTGGCCCGCTCCCCTTGCTGTCTGCAGTCTCTCTGCCCTCTGCCAGGGCAGCCCCACCCTCTCCCTCAGCAGAGCCCAGGCGGGCATGAGTCTCCTTCTGTGGTCCAGGCTGGTCCCCTAGGCCCTGGCTCTGGTGGGCTCTGCTCAGCTCTTTCACCCTCTGCCCACCCCACCTGCCTGAGAGCCCCCAGCTGCAATGGGTTGGGACAGATAAGAGGGAGGCATCGGTAGCCAAGTGCCAGACGGAGCCCAGCCCCAGGGCCCGAAGCTGCAGCAGCTCCAACTGAGCCCCAGGCCTCTGACTCCTCATCTGCCTGATGGGTTTGGGTCCCCCTGCCTGGAGAAGGGCTTTTGCTCTGATGTCTCAGGCTTCAGTGAGTGTCCCCTGGGCCATGTGGGTGGCAGTCCCTTTCCCCATTGCCTACAGCTGCAGCCCACCTCCCTCCTGCCTTTCCAGGCTGTCCCCTTCCCTGGGGGCTGAGGGCTGCTGTCCTACCATGACAGGGAACAGGGGCTTCTGCAGAGAGTCCGGCTGGCACACTGGACCGCAGCCACAGGGACGAGTGCTTCACACTTGGGGTCTCTTCCCAAATAGAGAACAGAGGAAGTGAGACTTTCACAACAGCCCAGAAGCGTCTACCCTCAACCCCATCCCGCTACACGCAGGCCCGGGGACCATTTGCATAGTCAGATGGCCGACAGCCCTCCACCTCTTCCTCTTTCCACTCCCCCCTCAGACAGCCTCCATCACCCAACTACCTCGCACCTGGACCCGGGGAAGGCCAGGGAGGAATGAGGGCCCAGAGCCCAGGCTTGGGTCTGTGAGAGACGGGAATCCAGGTAGCAGCAGACCTGAGCCAGGCACGCCGGCACCTATGTGGGGCCCCTCGCCTCCCAAGATGACCCTTGGCCCTCATGCCTCATCCCCCGGCCCACAGGTAGTGCTCTTAGGACAGTGTCTCCCAACCAGCCCTGCCCTGTCCCCATAGCTCAGATGGGCCTTGCATGCCCAGAGTCTGAGTCTGGGCTGCACCTGCCTGGGCTTCAGCCTTGTAGCCCCTTCCAGGAACAGGGCCTCCCATTCTGCATTCCAGCCTCCTGGTGCCCATCGGCACAGACTGCGTCACTCCCTGCCACTCCTGGCTGCAGGCACACAGCTGGTGCCCCCGGGACTAACTTCCTCAAGGGACCCCTCTGACCCACGTGCCGGAACTCAGACTGCTTGGGCCCAGGGCTCCAGGGTGATCCAGGACATCTCAGCAAGTCCTGCTGGCTGCACCTTCAGAACAGGCCACTGCCCGCCACCTCCATATCCACAGCCTGGTCTGAGCCGCCATCACGAAGCTTGGACCAGTGCAGTGGCCGCCTCTTCCCTGGCTGCCCTGCCCCTGCCCTCAGCCCCCACCCCCATTCACTTCCGGCCTGGAGAGACCCCTTCAAACCAATGTCGTCCGAGAGTCCTCCGCTCAGACCCCTCCATGGCTGTCCCTGGACTCACAGCAACCATCCACTGGCGGTCAGAGGGCTCTCAGGGACTGGCCTCACACACCGTTCCCTCTGCCTGGAGGCTCTGCAGATTCTTACGTGGCCCCTCGTTCACTTCCTTGAAGGCTCTGCTCGTGGTTGCCCTCTCAAGGTGGCCCTCCCTGGCCTTCTCATAAAGCTCCCACCCCACACCTGGTACTCCTAAGCCTCTTTGCAAGCTGTTTCTGTCATGTTTTCACCTGCTCCAGACCAGCTCCTTGACTGTTCACGGACAATTGTATCTGATCGAATCGTCTTATTCCCCTGCTGGAAGGTCACCTTCTTCAGGGCAGGGATCATCTGTCTGTATTCGCAGGACACAGTACAATGCCCGGCACCCCTAGGTGCTCAGAGCTGGCTGGACTTACAGGTCCCAGCACCCAGCCCTGGGCAGGCAGAGTCTCTGAGTGATGCTGAATGAATAAATGTGACTTCGGCGGGGAGGCGGCAGGGCCGCATCGCTGTCCCCCCCATCCTTCCAGGCCCACCTCTGGGCAGGTGTCCCAGTGGGAAGGCTCCAAGGCGCCAGGCACCCGGCTGACTCAGTGACCTGGGTGCAAGGGTATTGTCCCCTCACTGTCCCCTTGCCCACCTGAGGACCAGTGCTTGAGATGGACAAGGTCTCTCTCTTCTGGGTCCTGGCCGGAGCCCCAGTTCTCCTCCCTACACTCCTGAGGGGCTTAGCAGGGGTGGAGAAAAGCCTCAGGGGGAGACCCTGCCCTGAGCCAGGAAACAGGACAGCTGCAGCCACCGATCCCACTCCTCCAACCCCGCCC